TTAATATCTTTCAGGACACTCATCTGAAGGAATTTATTAAAAATATTGTAGTGTTCATGTACTTAGAATACAGTTTATATTTTTCATGACTGTATCATCAATTCTGAAGGGATTAATAATTTAATACCCAATATTACTCCACCCCCTTTTGCTGTCTTCTCCGTTTTATATACTGAGTATTTTGATGAATTACCTTCTTCTACCTCAGCCATTTAATTCATCCAATATAGCTTTATGTACATAATTAAAATTAATGCTGAAAAATAAGTTTTCTTACACTTATGTACACAATTTACATGTTTCTTTCTGATGTTTAATTATATGCATTAATTTGCTTTCATTTCTTTAGTTCTTAACATTTTACTTCTGTTTACTCTGATCATCTTTGCAGTTGCAATTTTCTTGTTTATTACTTTTAAATATGTTCTCAGATCTCTTCTTAAAATAGTTTTTTTTTTGTTCTTCATTTGTCAATAGTTTTCGTTTATTTTTATCTATCTAAATTTATTTTCAATGTCCACCGTTTCGTAACCATAACAATGTAACGTTATGATTTTTTCCTTTTTCAGAATATATCCTTAATGATACCAATGGCAATCAATAGACATTTAAAGTTAGAAAACATAATTCGCAGTAGTTATATATATATATATATATATATATATATATATATATATATATATATATATATATATATATAAAAGAGCCAGGAACAACCTATCTAGGTTTCACCTAAACGGATCTTCATGGTAAGCTGAATCTCAGCTCTACTTAAAGTATTGAGCACTCTACGTTTTAGCTTTATTATGTGCTTGGTTTTTTCTTTGGACTAAAAACTTAAGGCACTGAACGATTTGTTTCGTCCAGTTCAGATGTTTCTATTTTTTTCCTCGGGTACCACTTTGTTTTGACAGACTTACAAGTTGTGCTATTCGAGGTTTTTTCCAGCAGAGTATTACTATTAGTATATATATATATCCAATACGAGGAACAGCTATGAAGTTGTATAGTGATTTCTCACGCCACTAAATAAATTATTGTAAATATTCTAAAAAAAAAAAATAATAATATAAAGCTGAATTTCACCAGGTATATATACTACATGTAAGTATATCCTCTAAGTTTCACCCAAATCCGTTGATTGATGCCAATTCTATTAAGAAAGTAATTGACTTGCATATTAAAAATTGCATTATGCAATCTTGAGCAAAAGCTAATATAACTGACCTTGGATAGAAAATTGAATCAATAATTATTATGCTGCACATTTGTTCTGTATTTTATTATTTTCTGACGGCAAGAACTGAGCATAAGACGACCTGCTTCAAATGGATTTATCTTAGGTTGTTTCTTGAATAAATTGGCAGAAGGTCGACAGCTGCACATACGAAATTCAAATAGCAATGCAAATGAAGAATAAATACGATGCCACGTTCAAGTATATAGGATTAGCAAGAATTTTTGTCTTTTTAAAAAACTTCCAGTGCTCAAATTTTCTTCCCTTTGGCTATATATTTAGAATTATTTCTTCTCTTTTAACTCTCTGATTTCTTATGTGACACGCTGACCTCTGAGAGCTAATTGTAAGAAAGAAAAAAAAGAGGAATGAGATTACTAACTGGATGATAATTATTGAAAGTAAATTGAAAATTTGAGAAGAAAATTAAAAACGAAAAACCTTGAAAAAATTGTTTCAAAATAATGAAATCACGAATGGTTCCAAGGAGAATCTCACCAAAACGACGGAATGGAGTAAGATCAAAGAAAACCAAGACTACTAGTCCTTCCCCACTTTTCGCCGTTAAAAAAGATGTCGATCCTGGAAAATAGAAAAAAAAATATGTTGTCGATAAAGAAAACGTTGGTCACCGAAATAGCATCTAAATTGTTCTGGACAAAGAGCCAGGAAAAACATGTGGCTTGAATCGGCCACCCAGAAGAAAAATATCCCTACAAAAATAAAGATTAGCGCCTAAGATTGGGGACAGTTTCGTCCATTTTAATTTCCGTGACATTCGTTAAAATTTTTATGGCCGATATTATTTTGAATTCTTTCGGAGACAAGTTCATAAAGAAAATAATTACTAGCCCTGAAGTGGCCATAGGCGAGCGGCTGTATGTCCTGGTTGACTGAAAAACGCATAAACAGAGAAAGATAGTTTTTTATTACCAAAGATGTTTGGAATATTTTCTTTCTATTTCTGTCCAATCCATAACGACTAAAGATGAACAAAACGATTCTTGAGATTGACTCTGGTTATCTTGGATATGGTCAAGTCCCAAGCTCTGAGAAATCACCAAAATCGTGAAATAAGCTGATAAAGAAAGATTAATTACTGAAAATTTGTCACAAAGATAGTTGTACCATATCTTGTTATGGGATTTGCAAAAATGTAGGAGTTTCTTTTTCTCCTCCAAACACCCCGCCTCGAATAATTACATAAAATCTAAGAAAACGACGATAGCTCACGCTGCTAATAATTAAGGGTTTTGAACTAGCAGAAAAATACATTTAAACCAACTACGAAACGCAAAGAAACGCAACAACGAACAAATTCTAGCATACTTCTCAACATACAAGAACAATTCAAAACTATTTAGAGAAATAATAA